CGGCAGGCTTGTTTGTGGAGCTCTGTGTGTTCTGCTTGTATCTGCCATAGCAGCCTAGCTCTGCACTGTAAATCTCACTCCAACAGAAGTTTGCAGGACAGCACCTCAGAACCTGTTGCTGTCTGTCACACTGCGGCCTGACCTAGGCCCCGTGCCTCCCAGTAAGTAGCACCATCCAGTGTGCTAAATAAAAGCTTCTCACAGCAAGGTCTCTGCCCTCTTGGCATTGTTTGGTTTGCTTTTATCCCAATGTGTGCAAACTCTCAGCCTTGCCTGCACCTTGGCCTCTGTGGTGTGTGGAGAAGGCAGGGTGGGAGGGCGTTAGGAGGACAGGACCTAGCTGGCGGGCTCCTCCCAGTTCTATTTCTGGCTCTACATCCTGCGGTGCTACCCTAGCAAAGGCTAAAAGGGTGTTCCTTACATGAAAATAAAAGTCGTTTGATGGGCAGGACTCTGAACACTGAGATCTGACAGCATCCAAGGTAGTAAAGTTTGTTGAGAATATCTGACTGGTGCAGTGTGGCACACACACCACCACCGTCCCCACCCAGTGCAAAATGAGGGTTCCCCGGACCAGAGAACCTACAAAATGCATGTCACTGTGCCTCTGAAATCAGCTGGGGATGGTGTGAGTGGGCACCTGCAGGGTGTCCTGTACGAAGCACATCAGGCACTTTTATCTTGTGGTTGTGCAGAAATGAGAGCATCGCGTGGCTCTGAAGTAAATTATTCCACAGGATGAGGCAGAACTCTTCTGGCCATGCTGGCTTGTTGAGATTGCTGAGGCCTGTGGAGGCTGACCGGCCTGAGAACCAATTGTGTCCTCTAGGCTTCCCCAGTACCCCCATGCTAGTGCCATTTGTGTACCCCACAGCACCCCACCTGGAGCTCTGTGTGCAGCAGGATGACTGACAGGAGTCATTGAGGATGGGAGGGTTAGAAGAGCAGGAAGAGGGCCAGGTCAACGGGCACCTGCAGATGGTGGCCAAGCCTCTGTTAATCTTACCATATGACACGATTGAATGTGTGCACTGAAGTCTTTACTACAATTGTACTTTCCTCCTGCACTGCAGTTTGGTGACACCCTTGGCAAGAGCTAGGCTCCCAGGCGTGACAGCAAGTGACTAAGAGGTGTCAGGCTCCTTGGTGGTGTCTCCACCCATCTATCTATACACGCTTTCATCTGCCCATCTGTCTGTCATCCAGCCACCCATTCACCCATCCAACCATAGGGCAAATACCTTTTAATTTTTTTAAGTCAGCCAGAACATCTCAGAATTGTTAAGAAAGTTGCTGGAATATCAATCCCTTTGGATAGTTATGGGGTTTGCATTGGGACACAGTTTTTTTTGGGGGGGCGTGGAATACAGTTTAAAATGGTGGGAATTCAGTACAAACTGCAGCACAGTAGCACCCAAGACCCTGGCTCTGCAGAGGGAGGTGGCTTAGCTGGCGGTCAGTGGCTCACCATGGAGTCAGGTGGGGGCCAGGTAGGGATCAAGTAGGGCCCCATGCTCCAGTGGACCCTGAGAAAGGAAAGGAAGTCTCACCTTGTGGATTGCCAGTCCCTCTAGGTCTCCTTGCAAGTCCAGGAAAGTAGGACAGTTAGTCTTTCATTCTGTAGTTTGTTTAAGGAAAACTTGGATAGGTGAATCTTTTTTAATAAAAGTTTTATGTTTTCTTTTTCTCCCCTGTTAAAAGACTTTGGCTTAAGTAAAGGCCCCTCTTGGGATGTCCTGGGCTGTTCTCCATACTTCCCATCCTCGGCAGCTGGGCCCAGCATGAGAAGGTCTCCTTCTTTCTCATTTCCCTTCCTAGACCCAGGTCCTTTCCACAGAAACTGCATTCCTATGACAGCCTAAAGAAAACAACACAGAAACTTGTCAGGCCCACCTCCCTTGCCTGTTCATCCCATCATTTCCTCTTGAACATCCCGTGATCGTGCTGCAGGGCTCCAATACCCTGGACAGCTTGAGCCTAGAGCCTTGTCAAGGGATCCAGCTGAGTCCTGAGAGGCTGGGGGAGCCCAGACTTGCCTTGCTCATTGCTAGGAGCTTATAAAAAACAAACTTCCTCTGACCTTCCCACAAACAGAAGAGGCTCAACTGTGGGGCTGGCTCTTCTCTGGAGTAAATGGGATCTTTCCATGTAAATGGGGTGACAGGAAGTGCAGGAGCCTGGGCCTGATCAACATGCATGTGCTGTGTGCCACCTTTGGGGTCTGGCAGCTGGAGGCAGTGGTGCAGGCCTGTGGGACAATGACTCCTGTGCAGAGAGCTGGTCATGTGTGGGCACCAGTGCACAGCTCCTGCGACAGTATTTCCCATTAGTCTCACGCCTCCTGCTTCCTTGTCTTCTGGAGTTGGGTTTGCTTTAAATGAAAATTCATTCTTGAGTGTTAGATTACCTCTGCACAGGCTGCAAACAGGGAAGAGGGCTGTAGGCAAACAGGTCAGCCCCAGCATTGGTGCGAGCCCCTGAGCTCATTCACTGTCCCCTGGAAGGGGCTAGACTGTGCAGGCTACTTTTCCCTGGGGTTGGATGTGGCTGCTACTATTTTCAGGACGTGCCACCTTGTGGACTTGTGTCCACAGTGGGTGTGGTGCCTCTGGAAGGAAGCGTGGGCCTGGGGACAAAGCTTCCCTGCTACATGATTCTAGGGGTCCTTGGGGCAATAGCAAGTGTGGCCCGTTTGTGTGGGTGTGGGTGGGTGTGGGGATGTCTGAAGACTTCAAGGGATGCCCAGAAGGGTGTGGTTAGAGTATGGGCTCAGTGATGACATTACTAGAAGAACTTCCTAAAGAACCACGTGTTTCAGATGATGCAGGCCATCAAGGAAACCCACGGGGTGACCTACCAGCTCAGGGATGAAGCCAGTACCACCCTCATGCTAAGGGAGGCAGACACTTGTGAAGCCTATGATGGTAGAGTATGCCATCTGTAAAGTCACTGGTTGAAGTCTAATGGCTAAACATCGTACTCTACAAATGTTATTAATATTCTACTGGACGCTCATTTGAATATCAGCCCTGCAGTGATACTCGACTTTCCACCCTTGACATTAGTTGAGCTAGTCACGGACAAAATTCTTACCTAAAGGCAGACAGATCTATCCACACCTTCAGGTCCTGGAACATTGTGCTTTGCAAAAAAAATTGCCAAGATCTATCTTTGGACAATCATGGAGGCCCTTGATTTTCTGGAATTCATCCTCGTTGGCTTCTGAACCAGGGCATGGCAGAAGAGCTGCAGTGTCCTTGAATAAAATATCTTCCAGCTGGTGCACTTAAGCCAGGAGATGGATCTAGAATTTCCATGCACTGGTTTCCATTATTTAGAGACCTGGAAACGCTCACCTCTAGGCATATGACATTGAGGTTCCAAGACACTGTGAAAAGGCTTTCAAATTGGAAGTCCACATGCCTGGCCTTCCTGTTAAGACTACTAATTGTAATAATAATTTCTAAAACGTCTTTAGTTAAGTATAATTAGTCCATAGTGATTCTTAAATCTAGCTATGCTTCAGAACCACATTTTGTTTGGTTCTAGCAGATGGATCCCTGGGGTGTGAGTCAGCCTCAGATGTCCATGAGGGGACCCCAGGACCGTGTTTCCTCCAACCCTTGAGGGATTTTCTTTTTTTTCTAATTGTAACATTATTTTAATCAAGTAATGTAGCTGCTGGAAACAGGAAATTTTAAGACCATTCAGTAGAGCAAAGGGAAGGGTTACTCTATTAGGATAACCCTAAATAAAATCCAGATTACGTAAATTTGAATTCCACTGAAGTTTGGCATCAGACTGAACACTGATCCAAAGCCCAAACTCTCTTCTTAATGTTGAGAAGCCCTGAATATGTGTATTTCCTTTCAGAGCAAAAGCCCACAGCTCTACAACAGAATCTTAGTCTCACATGGGGTGTGCTGACCTATCGAGTCCCAGTTAATGGCAGTAAACAGGCCTTTTATGGCAAAGAATTTGAAACCTAGGAGACATCTGAGTTTACAAAAACCCTTTCTCTTTGGTGTGACACAGCACATTCCTTGAGGGGTTTGCTTTGCAGGTAGTGATTAGAGAACCTGGCAGTAATTAGCCTAAAAACCTAAATGCCTCTCTATATCTAAAACACATGGCCTCCCTCCACCCACCCATCTGTCCACTCACTCCTCCTTCCATCCACCATTTATTCACCAACCCTCCTGACCTTTCTTCCACCCATCCATCCATCCATTCACCCACCAACCCATCAACCCATCCATGTACTCATCCATCTACCATCTATTCACCCACCCACCTGTGCATCCTTGCATCCATCCATCTACCATCCATAATCCATTCACACATCCTTCTATCCATCCATCCACCCATCCATCCATCCATGTATCCATCCATCCATCTATACACGCATTCATCTATCCATCTGTCTGTCATCCATTCACCACAGGGTGGATACCTTTTAATTTTTTTAAGTCAGGGTCTTCCTATATAGCCCAAGCTTATCTTGAACTCTCAGTCCCCCTGCCTCCCAAGCGGTACTGGGATTAGAGTTGTGTGCCCCCATGTCCAGCTAAATTGAACACCTCTTTTGTGCCAGACATAATTCTAGTCTCTGAAGACAGGCATGAACCATAGTAAGGCAGGCAAAAGTTGGGTTAGGGCTTGATATCAAGACCATGGTGGGAAATGCAGTTTTTGAGTGAGGAGCAGAGGACGGTAGGGGACAACATCTGACAGAGGAGGGCTGTCCTGCTGAAATGGCAGGAGTCTGGGAGGGGATCACAGGAAGCCCTTGGACAAATGCATACAAGCTGAGTCAGGTAGGAGGCAATCTGGCCTCTGGACATGTCAGAGGCCACTCCTTAGAGGTTGAGGCTGGGTGACTGAGGGCTAGGGGCCTGGGCCGTCCGAGGATGGTGGTGCCAGGTCTTGGGCTCACGGAGTTCATAGGTTGGTGCTTTTTTCTGACCAGCCCTCATGCCGTCTTTTCCTTGTCTTTCCAGAACACTACAGTTACGCATCTCCCGGCATTGGCTCCTCTCTGCCTCTCCCAGCTGCACACACCTCCTTGCCGGCCCCATGCCATGATCTCCAGACGTCCACTCCGGGCATCTCAGCTGTTCCTTCAGCAAATCACCCGTCAGGGTATGGAGGGGCTGTGGACAGCGGACCCTCAGGGTACTTTCTGCCTTCCACTAACACCCGGCCCAACGGGGCCCCAGCTCTGGAGAGTCCTCGCATTGAGATCACCTCGTACCTGGGCCTGCACCACGGCAGTGGCCAGTTTTTCCATGATGTGGAAGTGGAGGACGTGCTTCCCAGCTGTAAGCGGTCGCCGTCCACAGCCACACTGCACCTGCCTGGCCTAGAGGCATACAGAGACCCCTCCTGCCTGAGCCCGGCCAGCAGCCTGTCCTCCCGGAGCTGCAACTCTGAGGCCTCCTCCTATGAGTCCAACTATTCGTACCCATACGCATCCCCCCAGACGTCCCCGTGGCAGTCGCCCTGCGTGTCACCCAAGACCACAGACCCTGAGGAAGCATTTCCCCGAGGCCTGGGCGCCTGCCACCTGCTGGGCTCCCCACGGCACTCTCCGTCCACCTCACCCCGAGCAAGTGTCACAGAGGAGAGCTGGTTGGGGGCCCGTGGCTCCCGGCCCACGTCCCCTTGCAACAAGCGCAAATACAGCCTCAATGGCCGGCAGCCCTCCTGCTCACCCCATCATTCACCCACACCATCTCCACACGGCTCCCCTAGAGTCAGCGTGACTGAGGACACCTGGCTTGGCAACACCACCCAGTACACCAGCTCTGCCATCGTGGCGGCCATCAACGCCCTGACCACCGACAGCAGCCTGGACCTGGGTGATGGCGTTCCCATCAAGTCCCGCAAGACAACCCTGGAGCATGCACCCTCGGTGGCACTCAAGGTGGAGCCGGCTGGGGAGGACCTGGGCACAACCCCACCCACGTCCGACTTCCCGCCTGAGGATTTCGCCTTCCAGCACTTGAGGAAAGGTGGCTTCTGTGAGCAGTACTTGTCGGTGCCACAGGCCTCTTACCAGTGGGCCAAGCCCAAGTCGCTGTCCCCTGCTTCATACATGAGGTGAGCAGCTGTGGGCGAGGCTGGATGCATCCAGGGCTGCACACCTGGGGTGTGGGTTTCTGGGGCTGTTGGACGGCACTACTTTTACCTCTCTTGCTGGTACTTCTTGGGGCACCACTGTTCCCCTCTGCCTCCTTTTCTGCAGGCTCCCTGTGTGCCTGTCTGTCTCCAAGTTCCCTTCCATAAGGCCTGCCCTAACCCTAAGGGCCTCATTGTGACTTGATCATCACTAAGACCCTGTTTCTTGGAGGTTGGGCCAGGGCCATAATACATGAATTCCACAGGACTTCAGGGTTTGCCGCATATGCACACACAGCCATGTTTTTATTAGAGCCAGAGCAGCCCTGCCCCTCCCATGTGGGCTGTGCCTGCTGCTCACCCACTTCCTTTCTCCGCCTTAATTGCTGTCACCGCACAGGGTGCAGATGGGACTTTAGCTCAACAGCCCCCCAGAGCAGCCAGCGCTCCCGTGTTTCATGAACAACACAGCCGCCTCCTCCCAGGAGGCTGGCGCGAGAGTCGCTGGCAGTCTGGTAACGGGGAGCTCGAGCGTGTTCCAAACTCCGGTCTTGGGTTGTTGGTTTTCCTTTTTAACGGGGCTCAGAACTGCTTGCACTCCGTAGGGCCCATTTAACCAGCCCAATGCTTTTATTTTTAACTAAACAGCTTTCCTAACAGGTGGGCCGCTCATGACCCTGTCAGGCTTCTTCCTGCTCCAGGATCTTTATCCGAAGCATGAAAACACCCGCTCAGGCCATTGAGGGCCGCATGTGATGTCAGGCCCAGGGCCACGTCCCCAGGCCGAGGCAATTGTGAGTCCCAAGGACTCTGTGTGCAGCCCAGGCAGCCCAGGCCTGGAGATTCTCGCTTTTGCTTTGGTTTTTCCTGTTCTTTCCTGTCAGGGCATCCCGAAGCATGACTGGGGCAGAACTAACTGGTTTTCAGCAGCTTGTGCCCCCAGATGCACACCTGCCCTTCTAGAAAATCCCTCCTCCACAGTGCAGGTGTGTGGCCAAGTCCAGCAGAGCCGTCTGTGCTTGTGCCTGTTTAGGGCTGGGCTGTGAATGAACCCACGGGGCCTTGCTGAAAGTGTGTGGCACAGTGTAGAGGTTGGGATGAGACGTGGGGCGTGAGCAGCAGCCAGGGAGGTTGGAGAGAGGCACTCCTGGGCCTTCTAGAGGCACGCAACATGTTCGCCTCTCTCTCATCTCAATCCTGGGGTGGGGTCCAGGGGGGTAGGTATTAAAGGTCTGGCAAGTCAGCATGTCATCTAAGTGAGTCTCAGAATTGGCATTAACACATAAACATAGAATTCTAAAACTCCAAGAGGTGGTGTTTTAGAGACTGGTTATCAGGATTTTTATTCAACAAAACCCAAGAGTGTTTCAACCCTGACCCTCTGAGACTTTCACGGTCACTCGGTATCATACTTCATGATGTGTATTTCGTGGACAGTGAGGTCATTGTCACTTGTAACAGACTTAATTGAACTCTTTGAGATGAAGGGACAAGACATGCCATCAAGAATAACTGCAGCCGTGAGCTTGAAGTGTTTTAAAGAAGTTGTGAAAATGGGTAAGCCTTGTATCTCTGTGTGGTGGCTGTCATGGCAGGACCTGACCTGTGGACAGGGCTCTAATGTCGGAATCTGTTTTCTCACACCTCAGCCTAGAAGCCCAGGGTTAGGAGGTCACCAGGACAGTTCCTCCTGAGGCCTCTTTTTTGGCTTGAAGATGTCCCTCATCTCCCTCTGTGTGTGTCTGTGTCTGGCTGTCCCCTTTCTTAGGGTGGGTCCAGGCTAACCCTTGTGACCTCATCTCAACTTGGTCATCTCTTTAAAGGCCTTGCTCCAAATGCATCATCTTCTTTTTTCCTTTTTGGCAGTACTGGGGATTGAATTCAGGGCTTACATGCCTGCTAGGTAGGTGCTCTACCACTTGAGCCACTCTGCTAGCCCCCCCAAACACACCATCTTCTGAGGTACTGAATGTCAGCACTCCACATGGAGTTTTGAGAGTCATAATTTAACCCCTGACCTCTGTCTTACTGTCCCAGGGAAAATGGCAGAATGCCTTTAAACATGGAATCTATTCACTTCTTCCCAGGTCCCTCGCCTGGGTCCTTAGCTTACAATCAACTGTCGGTCTGCCTGCCCCAGCCTGTCTGTGACACAGTCGCTGGAAAACACAATTGCTGTTTTCTTCCTTTGCTTGGGAGCCTTGGCAGTAGCTGGGCGGCCAGTGATCCCATGGTCTTTATCTTGTGGCCCCAGAACTCCCTGGTGGGTTGTGATGCTATGGCATTCCTGTGAGTTAATGCAGACAAACAAGACACGTGAGATGTCCACACCACTCTGGGGTGGAAGTTCACCTTTCCCCTCTGTTTTGGTTCCACCTCGAAATATGTTTCCTGGTCCCTTGCAATGTGTTTCCATAGACTCATTAACGGCTGCCTGGGGCTGCAGGAAGCCGCAGGGGGATGAAATGTGAAGCTATTTCACCAGTGCCATGGAGCAGCCAGGCTGCCTCCCTGCTAGCGCTGCCAGCATGCATGTAGGAGGCAACAGTAGCCCCAAAAGGTTGGTTCTCCTTCCTCTCCCAATTTGGGCTGGGGAATTCCCACAGCAAGTCCTGTGCCCAGGACAGAACTCTTCCAATTCTGTCCCCATGCTAAAGGACTTTTAAGAAAAGTGCACCCTGCTTGTCTTCTCAAGGGGAGTGAAGTGCTCTGTGATCACTTTCTTTCTGGGGTGTTCTTTGCTCTTTTTTGTGGCACCCACCTCCTTTCCTGTGAGGAGCACTCCCATTGGCCCATGGGGGATCAAAGAACAACACTGAATTCTTGCTGCAGCTGAGGAAGCTAATTAAGAGCATTTGAGCCGTGTGGCAGTGTGGCTCTCGCCTGTAATCCCAGCTCTTTAGAAGGCAGAGATCAGAAGGATAGTGGTTTAAGGTCAGTCCAGGCAAATAGTTCATGAGACTCTACCTCAAAAATACCCAGTACAAAAAAGGGCTGTCATCATTTGAGTGGCTCAAACGATAGAGTACCTTCCTGGCAAGCACGAAGCCCTCGTTGCAAACTCTAGGACCACCAAAAAAAAAAAAATGTGGGGGGCATTTGATAGAATTTCATGGTTTTAGAGTTTAGGGTTTAACTGAATGTCACGGAAGCTTGGGAAGCTGGCAGAGAAGTCACAGTGACTTGCTTGCGCCCAGTGGACAATCAGAAGTTAATCTCTCTTCTAGCCAGGCTCAGGCTGTCTGGCCTCTGAGAAGGACCTGGTTCTTCCTACCTGGCATCTTCCTACAGGTCATGCTGAGTAACAACAAAAACTCCGGCAGGGCAGAGTGACTTTTCACGGAGCACAGATAAGTGTGCCACGGGCTGGCAGCACAGAGATGGGTATTAGCACCTGTCCCTGGCCTGCGAGGGAAGGGCATCCCAAATGTGGTTTTCAGATGGTAGGTTTTAGGGATTTTTGTATTGACCTGTCCATCACTGAGCCCCTGTCCTGACAACGAAGTGTTGGCTCTGTGCGAGACTGTCTCTTTTCTTCCAGGAGAGACCCAGGAAGTGTCCTAGTGTCTTTCGCTACCTGCACCCGGCGTGATCTTTGGATTTGCATTTTGTACAGAGGCAGTGTTACGTGAGGAATTTAGATAAACGGGAACCAATTTGGGGAAAGCAGAAGCACTTTGAGTGTGTATGACATCAGGAGCCATTTGTTAACTTCCTATACATGAGCCACTGCTTTTTCCTTAATTTTTAAATTAGTGCATATTAATCCTGCCAGAAGGTTTCATTGGGCTGCTTTCATTCCTCACTTCATCATGCACTTGATCAGACTCACCCCCCTTACTCTTTCTTACTCCCCTCCCTCCTTCTTATAAACCGTTTTTAACAGGTTTCATTATTCTCAGACATGCGTATGAATTACTTTGATTATATTCACCCTTCCCCTTCCTGCTGTCTCCCCCTTCGTGCACCCATGTCATTCTTTTTTTTTTTTTAGGTCTACATTCCATATGTGAGAGAACATGGGATATTTGTTTTTCTCAGTCTGGCTCATTTCACTTAGTGTCATGCACACCAGTTCCACACTGCAAACAACACAATTTCATTCCTCTTTAAGGCTGAATAATACTCTACTGTGCATATGTGCCACATTTTCTCTACCATTCATCAGTGGATGACTACCATGCTGACTCCATGGCTTGGCTCTTGTGAAAGGTGCTGCTGTAAACGTGGGTGTGCAGGTGTCTCCATTGCATGGTGACTTATATTCCTTTGGTGGTTTTATTTTTAGCTTTTTGAGGAACCTGGATCCTGATTTCCTCAGCAAGTCATTTCTTTTTAAAACAGTAGTGGTCCTAAGGGTAGGCTAGACTTGGTGGATGTTTTTCCTCAGAGCCTGCTTGGCTGCGACAATCAGGCAGAGACACATGTTAAGAATGTCAGACACTGTTCTTTCAGGTTTGGCTGTGATGGTGGAGCCTCAGCGATACCTCCACCTTTGATGACATGCCTGCACGATAGCTTTGAAAGGCCTAACGAACCCACCTTGCGCTTCAGAGGATATCCGAATAGCTGGAGTTTATCCCAAGTAAGATCAAACCAGTCTGTGGTTGGGTAGCACTAAACCCAGCGCTTCCGTTTCTCCAAACGTTAGGGAATTCTGGGTTGGATCGCCGTTTTGTGCCTCTGGTATCCATGTAGGTCCGGTCAGGCGGGGTGTCCATGGAAGACTTCATGGGCTCCCGTGGGTCCCCAGGTCTCCAGGCTCTGGTGGCCTAGCTGGACTGTTCAGATCTCCAATGTCTGAGGTTCCTGGTGGGCCCTTTGGGGTGATGGCGATTGCAGAGCTCAGGAGAGCCTCAGCCTTGGCAGTTATTCCCAGTAGTAATGTGACAAGTGAAGGGGTAGAGACGCAGGAAGCAGGGTCCTTCCTGGCCCATCCTGCTGTTCTAGGGGACTGCTGATGTCGCCTCCTTGGAAGACAA